ACCAATCATAAGATCAGAGAAGAGAGATCTGTAAGGGACGCTAAATTATCTAGCTGGTTCATCTCCACCATGGTAGGACACACAACTATATGTACACCATTCTTACCATTTGCTCTTCTAACCTGTTCTTGGGTACCTTTGATTTGGCTTCACAGTTTCCCTAGACAGACTATTTTCATGTTTGTTTATTACAATAGAGACAATATTCTTACTGTTCTGGTACCTAAGAGAATTATTACTAGTTTAAATCACCTACTTTTTATGCACAAAGGGCAGGGGAATTTTTTTTTCATTCTTCTTGCCACTACCCTCATGTATGTGAAGGCTGTTATCACAATTCCTTTTTATTCTTCTGCAGACTAAACAAACTAAATTCCTTCACCTATTACTTGTAAAATGTACACACTGAATAGAAGGAACATGTCTTAGGTTTTACAGGTGATATCCCTGTATAACTGCCTTCTTCCAAGCTCTGGCACTGGGAGGCAGAGAGAAGGAATGGGAATCTTTCACAGTGTGACCAGGGTAGGTATTTTAAGACAAAACATTTCTGTGATCATTATCCAATAAAACCATTTCATCTTAAAGATCATTTATTTTCGTGAACATCTGTTTGAATACTCACAGAAAGAAGGTGAATGCAACCGAGGACACAAAGGCAGCTGTAACAAATACAGACAAATGTTCCTAAAACAAGAGTAAGTGTAGTCTCACTCTGAGTTGATAGAGATACCTTTCCTTAGGATGACCCAAGATAATAAATTATTCTGCAAGTTTGACAAGAATAATGTTAGATACTCATTAAACTGGTAATAGGTGTACATCATGTTGCAGTTTTAATGATTATAGAAAAATGAAGCAATACTTGTAAAGAAAACACGATACCTGTTATGGGCTAACTGCTCTAACTGGGGAAAAAAAACCCACACCACTAACAATAAACAAGCTGTCATCTACACAAGCTGTCCTCAAGATGTGCTTCTTTATTGGATCTGAACAAGTGGTTTTGACCTAAATGCTTGTCTCTTTTTTTCCAACTATATTAGTCAGTCTAATAGATCTTGTTTCTCTGGTGGTTATCTCCATAGTATTTGCTGCCATAAGCCCCTAGGAATTCACAGATCACTCTCTCTGTCTCTCTCTCAAAAAGACAAAAATGTCAAATGAAACCCCATCCTGCTGCAGGCCATATTCCTGTGCAAAACAGCAGTGCTGGGGATTGCCACGTTAGCCTCAGGCGAGCTGACGGATGGTAGAGTGCAGTGCCATGAAGAAATGTGACCTTGCATCCCAAAACCATGCAGTCACCAGACCTCAGCACTGCACTGGTGCAGTTTTGGAGGGCTCTCTCAATCTGTTGCAGGCTACAGACATGTCGAGACTGCTGATGAGACTTCAGTTCCTTAAGCGCATGGTGGCTTTGGAAAAACACAATCTCTCTTCACAAGCGGGAGAAAATCACCAAGTGATTTGTTACAAATTATTTACCATGCTCTAAGAATAACCAACTTATTTCATTTAAAATGAGGGCAGAGAGGTTCTCTGCAAGCACGTGAGCATTTTTCCCCAAGGAAAATTTCATAATGGTTAATATAAGCAGAACTACAGTAGTGCATATGGTTAACAGCTGCTTTAACATGATATGGCATAACAACTGTCTGGAAACCATTAGCCTAACTTTTCTTTAGTATTTGGATAATTAACCAACAGACAGAGCTATTTCAGCTTATCAGATAATGCATAGATATATATTTTTTCTGTATTATTTACAGTATGTATAGTCCTGTTTCTCAAAATTATACATTAAAAGATTGCTGAGTGGATGAAAAAAAATCGTAAGTCTCAATAGATATTTAACAGATATTTAGATCTTTCCAAAACACTGAAACATTCAAGGGTTCCAAAGAAGACTTTCCTTTAAGGAAATTAAAACATAAAACTCTATTACTGTTAAGGTTGCAAAGAGACTAACAAAAGCCTGGAATATAAATATTTATATATATATAAATTTTGTTAAATATATTAAACCATAAAGCAGAGTTCTCAGGGACTTTGATAATGTAGATCACCTTTTGGTACAAAGATTTTGTAGCAGGCTTTTATTGCTCTTCACAACTGCCACCTTCCCCCTCTTTTATCTGCCCATAATAATTTTGTTGGAAGTACAGCTATTCTTTAGGTTAAACAGTGATATCAGGAAAAGTTTTAGTTCTTGTAATATTAAGCAGAGCCAAACTGAAGAGGAAGAAAGATCAGCACCACATGTGGAGGGCAAAATAATCTTCCTGGCTTTGTGTTGATCCACAGAAAGCTAGAAGCCATTGTCATCTTGCATGAAAATGTATTTAAACATGTATGGAGTCAAGCAATTATAGGAAGGCAGCCTGAAAAACAGATCAGTTTAACCAGCCAACAACTCTATAATTTGTTAACATTCCCTTTCCAGAAGTTTTGTTGTATATTCAAACTTTATTTATTCTGCAGAAGAATTAAATGATAACAATAATATCATTTACAAAACTTCTCTAGGAAGTAAATATGGTGAAAGGGAAGACCTACAATTTAGACTGTATGTTAAATACCAGAAATAAATGTCTAAAGTTGTAAGACCTGAATTCTTGTCAGCTCCCCATGAGTCCAGGTAGTGGAGAAGTAAGGAATAATGATGTCAAGTTTTTCTTTCTGCTTCTCAGGGTGTTAGCATGTGTGTATTTGTGCACCTGTCCTTCCTTGAGGACAGCTCAGAATTCATATTTAATACCCATAGAAAGCCAAACCTGTCCCCTCATGCAGGTGCATCCACATGCTTTTGAGTGGGAAAGTGAAACGCTCTCCATAGTTCGGTTATAATGAAGACAAAGGGGAGGGAGAAGGACATGACTAAAATACAGGTAGTTACTCAGCTGCTGGAGAATAAGCCAGAGAAGTTTGACCCAATTGACTTTTCTTTTGGATGCCACTAAATGCAGCCTTCACTCTATCTGCTCCTCAGAACATAGCTTATTTTTCCCCTTTTGGACATCATACATACTGACGCATACATTTCTTTACAGCACACAGGTGAAAACATAGTGGTAAATGCTACTCCTGCAATGGACTTTGAAGCACAGGTATGTTCATGCTTGTCAAGGATAGATTCCATTTCAACAGTAGCCATTTACTAAAGAAATATGAGTAATGCACTGCTCCCTGAATCTGATATACCACACTTCTGCTAATACACAACATCATAGAAGCCAGAGACAAAAGACTTATTAAACATCAGTAGCTTTTCCACAAACTCACCACTGCTATTAATTAACTGCCTGTTAATGAGTGCAGTATGCTTACTAAACTCCAAATCTGGCAATTTGGATGCAGTTCAACTATAATCCCACCCTACTGATAGGCTTTGACAAACTACCGAATTGCCTATTTGCAGTCCTCATGGGACAGTGTAGTCAGTAAAGATATCTGGTGGTATTTCCACATGTATATAACTTCAATATGATTCACAGTCCAACATGAGTAATGACTGCAATACCTGTAAGGCCATGGAGCAGACATATCTTATCGCTCTTTGTCAATAGAAGTTGTCACAACAGATCAAGAGAGCTAAATTTTAGGAATAGATACAGCATCAAATCTGCTCCTAGTTTTAGTTCCATTGGAGACAAAGAACCGAAACATTCACATTTCCTCTGAAATGTCATGAGTTGAGCTATTTCTCCTGCATCGCCATATAGCAGAGAATGCTTGTGGGCTGACCATCTTGCACAATATTTAATATCTGGCACTTAAATGTCAGGAGAACAGTTAATTACATTTTCTCTTCTTCAACTTTGACCCAGAATCCTGTTAAAATCAGAAGAAAATCACCCTGTGGCTGAGAGGGACATTTTGAGATACAGGAGTGGAAGTCCCACTATTATCCAAGCTGAGCTTTCCCCTCCTTGCAGAAAGCACCCGAATAATTTTGGTGTACCTAGCACAAACTGCCATACACAAGTACATTTTGATGACAGCATCTGAGCCAGATTCCCAGCCTCCCCAAGTTGTTTACAGAAGTGTGATGTGCACTTCCAGACATGTTACTATTGCTACCATCTTTGTGCAAATGTAGTCATACAGCCATTCATGTACAACAGGTCACCAGAGTAAACAAGCACATAGGGGTCTTGTGAGCATGGGTGAAGTCATTCTTATTAAGGGAAAAGGGTTTTACCTCACTTGCCCTTTTTCACTCTTACAGGACAATAGCTAGAGTAAATCTGCACAATAGAGTCAGATTTTTAATCACAAACTAATGTCTCCATTCTCAGCACATCACATGGGGAAAAAAATTCTGTTCCCTATCCCATTGTTGGCCTCCGACCAAGTTCCATGTGGGTCTAATACTGCAATCTTCATTCAAATAAGAAGAGATTTATCAAAGTGAGGATCAGGACTTTTGTCTATAAAATCAGCTGGTTCCCGTTAGAACATTCATTTAATCATGATGACATTTGTGATATCTCCACCAAAATCAGCAAAACTCATTCCTTTTGCTTTGCGAGCTTGGTCTCATTGTATCTTATCAAAGTCTTTCTGTTACTCAGACCAGTCACTGCAAAGAATTATCAGAAAAAAAATTCTGGAACTGCTTAAGACTACTGATTTCATGAGGGGGATGGGATGACTGCATAGAAATTCCCTTCCAAATTAATAGCATTTGAATCCTGAAAGAAATGCAACACAATAAAATTGTCTTCAATATTACAATAAATTTAATGAGCCTTAGAGCAATTCAGTCACAATACTAAAACACAGATTCATGCAAATAACACTAATAGTAACAGACAAATTCTAAGAATGAGTATTGCATCTATCTGACAATAATAATGGCAGGAAGATGAGAAACTAAATCAAATCAGAAAACAAACTTGCAATAGAAAGCTTCCTATACAGGCATTTTATAATTTAAAATATGTCTAAAATAAAAGTAGAAAGAAAATGTTTAGTATCCTACCATACTATTAATATTTTTTTTTTTTTTCCATTTTGGATCTTCCATCTCTGTTTTCGATATTTAGGCAAAGCTTCCTGGGAATGCTTTTCACAGCTTCTTATTTATCATTTCTCTTCTGTTATTTGGTCCTAGGAGGTAAAAAATGACAGTAAAAGAAAAATAATGGGTCAGTGAAAGACAAAGAGAGAAAAAATTATCTAGCTTTAGTTTTATTTTCTGTAATATTATAGGTATTCTTCATTTGTGAGAAATAGGAAATAACACATTATAGTTCCTAGATGCTGTTAAACCCTGAATCCACCAGTTCACATTCAAAGAGTGCCAGCAACATTTCTGAAAGGACTGCTGCCAAAGAACAAATAATATCTACACTTCGGGAAACAGAATTTGTGTCCTAAAACTTTCTCCAAGAAAAGGGAGAACATTACTCCCAATCTTTACGGGGAGTGTCTGAAGACACATTTAATCCATGAGCTAATTGATTTATTTTGGCAGGAGAGCTGTCCTTTCCTCTTTCTCTATTTTTTTTTTTTTTCCCTGTGATACAAGCAGGCTACCAGGACAGCTTTTTAAAATGTGAAGATCTGCTTAATAAACTCCTTCGAGAGTAGTTGGGACACAGATGTTTCATATAATTATTAGTTATAGCTTAAGATAAAACCATGATGGTAAATTAGAAGTCTGAGTTTTATACTGTGTACCTATTAAATCTCTTATTACTGACCTTATCCAGCAGTATGCAACAAATGTATAACTGTAAAGCATGCATTAAATATACCACACGTATGTAGCCAGATAGTTGGATGACATATAAATAATGCAAACATTTGCACTCTTCTTCCATGGGGGAAACATTTACTTCTGTAACACAGAACCATTTAATATCCCAAAGTTCATCTGATACAAGACATGATGATCTTTTTTTTTCATGGCAAGTATGTAAAACTTTCCTCGTGGATGTTTTCCTATAATGCATAGTAGCAAAGCTTATGTTGCTCATCCCTCTCACTACAGAAATAGGACAGCATCTGCTTGATGTCAACCAGCACAACTGGCCCTGTTAAGCCTTGGTCTTTGGAAATGGGTCTTCAGTATTAGCAGTCTTGCTGGTGCTTAGGGATCTCTATTAGCGATCAGGACCTGGGTCTTCTAAGCACCTCACACACACACAATAACAAAATTTTTGCTGCTGTGAAGCCTTCCCAGGCTTGAGAAATTAATTTTCTCCTCAGCTAGCCAGCAGTGGCTGGTGCAAGCTCCTTACCTTGCAGGCTGTGAGCAAGGGCACACAGCCTTTGGTTCCTGTCCAGGCTGTGTTCTTAACTGCTGGCTACAAATAAGTTGTTTTCTCCTTTTTTTGCCATCTCAAAGCTCTGTAGTTGTTTCTCCTTGCTTTTTCTTTTTGGTTTTACTTTTTTTTTTTTTTTCCCATTTCCTTTCAAACCCATCACTTTGTCCTCACAGAACTCATTTAAGCCATCAGGGTTTTAAATTTAGCTCTGGTAGAAGTCAGAGGGCAGGTTTCCATGCCCACCTCTGGTGATGGAAGGCTAACCTCGAGGTTCACACTTTGTGCCGATTTTCCCATGCCCTTAGATTTTGCCTGACGAGACGCCTACAAAGCCTCTCTGGCCTGCCCGGTGGCAAAAAGCAAATTCAGCATGGCCAGTTCTTGTTTAATCCTTATACTTCAGGAGCCCAGGCTCCATCCACAATGAGCCAGGAGAACCCAGTCAGCCCAGGCAAGGCTGTGCCAGGTTATGTCACCAGAGGACCTGGCCCCTGGTCTCAGAAGCCTCCCTTGAAGTTCACCAGGAGATTTTTCAGCCAAAGAGCTTCACATTCCCTTTCCAATAGTAGCTGCTTTTTCCAGTGCTGAGAGCAAAGTTCTTATAAAACATGTACCCTTGTTATTATTATTATGGGAGAGTAATACTAATATTATAGTAGTATGCAGAGGCCTGGAATAAGGTTCCATCACGTTGTATGCTAAACAAACATAACCGTGGGGCTTCGCCAAGGCGTCAGTCCTGCTGTGGCAGCAATCACTGCCATGTGTCAGCAGAGAAGCTGGAGGTACCAAGTGGAAGGAGATCCCTGAGGGTGCCAGGTAGGTGCGCACCAGCCATGTCTGTCTTCCACTATCTACCCTTCTGTGCCCTAAGGGTGGATTTTCATCCACTCCTTTTCACAACCTAAAGAAACCTGCCGGAAACAAAACTTACAGGATGTAACATAAGACAGAGTTGGTAACATAGGAAGGTTGTCATGACCCCCTCAGAATAAATAAGAAAATATCTGATCTGTATACCATCATGGCCTTAATCGATTTGTTTTTTAAGAGAAATATTCCAGCCATGAGCTGGCCCTTCCGGAGAGACTTTTAATGACTTAGGGTAATAACTGGCTTACGCTTCCTCCTGGAGTGCTGAGATCACCCTTTCACATCCAAAAGGGAGCAAGAAAGTACATGTTCCCAGCTTCTTGCTCTCAGACATGCCTTTAAAAACTCCACAGTGCCCTACAAGCAAGCGGGTGACAGGGCAGACGTCACCAAACAGAGCCTGTCTGATGAAAGCTTTCCATGGTTCAGATACATGATCTGCTGGAGACACGCAGGAGTCCATGGTTTGTTTGTTTGTTCATTTATGTCAAGAATTTTTAAAAAATACGTATTTCATTAGCTTTAACATATTTGGTTAAATAGTTAACTATGGTAGCATCAAAAAAATAGTTACTGTGCCATCTGGTTTAGCAGTGTAATTATTGATTGATACATGCTATTTATCAGTACTCTCTAAACACTGCATGTTAACTGATGGAACATTCCTCAAGCAAAAATTCAGTCCTATTACTGCTGCTTGCTGTCTGTCCTGGAGTACCTAGAGGCTGTCCCCATGCTTCGCCATTCTGCAAGATACTCTACAGGCGCGTAATGTTTCGCAGGCGCTGTTTCAAAGACTTTTAAAATTACGTTCATGGTTTCTGGACTGGATTCTCTGTTAGTTTAGATTGGCAACCCTGCATTGACTTCAGTGGAAGTCTGGTAATTTACACCAACTGCGAATTTGGATCTTTATTTCTTCTTCTTTTTATTTCTGAGGACAGATTGGTTTATTTTAAAAGCTGGCTGCTGAGTAGAAATGTGTGAAATAACTTTTTTTGCTGCATAAATATTTTTAAACAGTATTTTCAAAGATTTTGCAATGACTTACATGAAGCTGGCAAAGCTCTGGTACCCCCTTCATCTTATGCAAACAGAATTATGTAAAGAACAGGCCTTTGGGACATTAGAATGTTCAAGCAAAAAGAACATTAAAAAGCAACTTTTTTTCCCAGAGACCCGTAACTTTTACCCATCCTGGCCCCTGGAGTGACATTCTATCATCAGAGATGTTACCTGACGACCCCCAGAAGATTGTTTTTTATACCCAAGATAGGACCAACTGGCCAGTTTATTGCTTGCGTTTGCCATCACTGCAATGAATAATTAATCTCATGCTGTGAGTCCCTCGGTCTATAAAGCCTACTCCAAATTCAATTAAATTTCTAAGTGTAGGCACGAGGCCATCTAAAAGTTGTTTTTCCCTTGAATTTAATAGGTTTTGGCCTAGAAAGCTGGCCCTCTGGCCCGGTACTTTTTCCCACATAAGGGAGGCCTTTCTCTTTCTTCATTATTCAGAATTACCTCAAGATCTTCTTAGCACTGAGCACTCACTTAGCCATACACCACCCAAAATATTTTAATATGATGAAGCCACTGAGCATCTCTAGACATGGACACAGATATTTATGACTGTACTGTAAATGGTTTCTGCATCCCTTTGAGCATTGTCTAAGGCCAAAACTCACAGCCAAGAAATCAGGTTTAAAACCTTGACATGAAAATCAAGGCTTGGCATTTGGTCCTCAGAGAAGGACTGCACCCCTGATGAGGCTGCAGGGATGCCCTACCTTCTCCAGAGCTGCCTCACACCCAGCGCTCTGCACATGCTTCAGCATCCTCTCTCCACCCAAGGTTTTCATTCCCTTCTCACTAGTATTTTGAGGAAGCCGGTCCTACTATGTGCAATATCCAGCCTCTCCTGCTGATGAAGCAATTTGTATCCTTGGCTCTAACCATCTTATTCCAGTCTCCCAGTTAGTTGCACACTGGTATTGCCAAAGCAAGAAGGTAATGATTTGGGCAACAGCAAGACACAGGCACCGCCAGACACCTACATGTATGTGGGATGTCTTTGATCCCTCTTTTGAGATTGAACTCCTTTCGCTTCCTCATCTCCAAAGGCTGTGGTGGGCACAGTGGTGCAAGACTGCGTGCAGATGGGTGAGAGCTACCCAGCCTGTTTCAGTCCCAGCCCTGACACAGAGAGCTGTCACAACCCTTAGGGCATTAGGATGTTGATATCTACTCCTGGCCTTCATTTGAGGACCTGCAAGCCTTGCATTGGTGCACCCCTCCATCTGACAGCAATGGATGATTCTGCCTGAGCCTTTCCACCCACTCCAGATCTGCCCCACATCTGCCTCCCACCTGCCCCTGCTGCTCAGCCCTGTCTAGCTTTGCACTCCCAGCCCCAAGGGGCTGCTTCCCCGGCTGCACACTGATTCCTCACTCTTGTAGTCCCATCACACACAAGTACACACGCAAAGACATCTGCTTCTGCAGGGATTTCCGTAGATCTCTGCCCACCTTCCTGCTCCAGTTCCCCTGTTCCCAGCCTGGAGCAGGGGCTAGCTGGGAAGAGGGGCGCAGATAGCCCAGGGATGTGCATCTACCTTAGCTTCTCCCTTCTCCCGGAGGTGGAGGGAGAGGCGCAAGGGGCCAGGCAAGGAGGGCTTACTCCAGAAGGCAGAGATGAAATTTATAAGAGGGTTGGAGTTCTGCCTTTAGATCTTTCCTGGCTCTGTTCCCGAGAAAATCATGTCAGTGAGAAGAGCTGGCAGCACCACTGGCTCCCCCCGGCTCCTCAGCCCTGGACGACCTGCTCAGCGCTCAGCCCTCCAGCTTCTGAATCACGGCTGAGCTGCACGTGGAGCTGGCCGTCGTTCTCAGCCTTTGCTCCGTGTGCCGCTTCTATGAATCACAGGTGTTGTGCATTTCCCTCGAAGGACTGAAAGGAGTTTTCAAGAGCTCCAAAATCACTCAAAGTTAATGGGAGCTAGGAGCCCAAAGCGCCCCTGAGGAGCTGTGCTGCCCCAGCGCCGCTCAAGCCCTGATGTGCACTGGAACTGGGATTCCTAAGTCACAGGATGCTTTTAAAAATGTGTTTCGCTCTCTTGCACAAGCAGGAGCCAAAAGCCTGCAAGTTCTGGTCTTGCTTCTGCAATTAAACTGTTCTGAGGCTTTTAGAGAAGTCACAATCCTACCGAGCCTCTTTCACTGTCTGTAAAAGGGGGATAACAATAATAACATCCTTCCAAAGTAAATGTTAATAAGACTTCAGCAGCTTATGTCTGCACAGGGTCTTGAAGATAGAAGGCGCTGGGAGAGCATTATGTGTTGTCGTTACTAATTGTGAATATCTTTCACTTTAGTTTGTTGTCAATTATTATTAAAAGTGAGAATTTGTGATCCAATGTAATATTACTCTGAAAAGATTTAGTATCTTTCACAGCCTGTAAATAACTTGGTTGTATTTGTCTGATGCAGAGATGGTAATAGGAAACAGATTTCAAAAGTGGTGCAAAAAGGAATGTGTGGTTGTTCTGACAATATAGTTTTCTTAAATTTAAACCTGATAAATCAGCTTTGGGCTCTCTTTGGGCTCCTCTCTCTGAGGAGAATATTTTTAAGTGAGGCAACATAAATGAATTCCTTAATTGGAACATAAACATTAGCACTATGTTTCTACCCTTCCGTTCATTCTAACGAGTAAACAGACACATGTCGGGGCTTTAAACTACATTTGGCAAGGCAATATAGGGAATTTGTTCACAAATTGCAGAAGGAATCTGATTAAGGTCTTCCCACTAACAACTTTTTGACCCCCAACAAGCAAAAAGTGACCTATGCATTGCAAGGCTAGATACATCGGTGTCACAGAGGGCATCGTGACAACCATTTACCAAAAACATTTCTCTTCATTACCACGAAATACCTATCTGAAGCCATCTAAAATTTGGCAAATGAATGTTAATAGAGCTTCAGTAAAGAGATTAGATCAACTGACCCCCTTGTATGGAAAGTTACTCAGGCACAGGAAAGCTCTGCTCAGTTTCCTTCATCTTGTTCCTTTTTTTTTTTTAACTCAGGAACCACAGGACATGAGATACATCCATTGAGGCTCTGCATCTCCAGCATGAATGTTGTTTTTCCTCCCCCATCCTGCTCATTCATATGGATTCACACTACGATGGGCTTCCCTCTAGTGGGGGGTAGCCCTAAAAATCAATCTTAATGTAAAGGGTGGAGTAGCACTTGGCTGTTGCACCATGAAAAAGTCAGTTTAAGAGATGCAGAAATTTTCTCAGAGATATGGGATTTCCATCCTCAGTTGTCTGAGTCTCCATCCCCTAACACCAAAGGGTTCCCAACCCTTCCGGGTCATAGTGCACCAGCTGAGGGTTTGTTGATATTGCTGCTGTTCTCCTTTTCATAGGAGCAAGTAAGCACACGAATATGGGTCACTGATGTGAAGCAGCCAATTTGTCTGTGGAAAATGAAGTCTGGACTCTTTCTTCCGTGTCTGAGGTTTCTTTTATGCTCTCAAGCCTCGTAAAGCCACTGTGTAGCTCCAGGTGTATGTATGGTTTTGTGTGCTTTTAACATAGCTTCTTAGATCCTTTAGATTAAAATCCATAATATTTTTCTAACATAATAGTTTTGGAAGGGTCAGCTCTAATGAGTTTTATTGTAGTTGGTAGCAGCTCTTGGTGTATATGGATCTTTAATGGAACCTCAGCTTCCATGGAGCTGAAGCAGATAGGAATTTCTCAGAAGAACAGAAAGGAGTGAGAATTCTAGTCTTTTCCATATTTCTAAGCAGCCAGTTATTTTGGAATCTATTGCAGATGTATCCCATTAACTGTCAAGTTACTTAGTAAACCCACCAAATTACTGCACACTCACTCAATAAAAGTGCTAGATATATAAAAGAGCAAGGAAGTTCTCAAGGTTTTTCTTAAACCTCACCAGGAAAAAAATTTTTTTTTTTTTTTTTTTTTTTTTTTTTTTTTTTTTTTTTTGAACAAGGAGTACTGCCAGGGAAAATGAATGTTAAAAAACAAGCAGCACAAAATGAGGGCTTACATTTCCAAACCTCGACATACCACATGTGCCTATAAAATACAGGAAATGGGTACAAATGTGAAGCTGCACACAGGATTAGAGGCACATGAACACATTTAAAGCAGGTGGAAATAATGTCAGCTGGAGCTGTAATGTTAGGTTTGTACCAGGGGGCAAAGTGTAGATGGGGCTATACAGCTATTAAAGTACTCTTGGTACAATTTTCTGAAAAGAAATCATAAACACAAACAATTTCTGGCATCCTTAAACAAATGTACAGATGTTAGTTGCATCTCTTCCCATTGCTTTTAAAACAGGAAAGCCTCCAGGCCTTCAGCTCAACTGCAAAGCCTTCCAAATCCAGAGAGCTACTTTGTCAACAAAGGGAGCCTTGGGGAACATCACTAAAGTGGCTTTTTTGTCAACTGGCATTACAATACTACACGAGGCCAACACATGACATTAAGCTATTGGAAAATTTGTGGCCTGGTGCTAAGTTATCCTCGAGTAAGTGTGTCATGCATTAAAGCAATGACGGGATGTACACAGGACAAGTAATAAAATGGCCTCTACTGCCCCCACAGACTCATCCCTGCAAGATCAGTACGGGTGGGAACAAACCTCCACAAAAACGTGTCCGTTTTCCCCTACCAATTCCCAGTTAGGACTCTTTTGATTATGCTATATAAGAAAGACCCTGGCAGAATCAGTGTAAGATCTACAGAAGAAACCACCTTTTCATTTCTTTATGGATAAGCCTACCAGCAGTGAGGGTAAAAGCTATGCCCAAGGCTACAATCTTCTCTCTGAAGATCCTGGGGGCAGCTGGATCTAACAGAGCCCAGCAGCCAGGGGAAAGGGCTCAGAGCTGGCACAAAGGCACAGCAGAGGATGGTCCCGACCCTGCCTGCATCCTCTGGGATATGAGTCGCTCCGTGTGCACAGTTGGTAAAGTTTACTGCATCCTGTGCCTCTCCTGCCAAACTCTCACCCACAGTGAGGATCCAAATCAAAGGCCCTCCTGCCTCTCCAGCCCTGCCTCCTCATAGCAGCTTAGATTACACATTTTCCACGGATTAGAAGAGCACCCATATCCTATGGTTTAAAAGCAAAAACTGAAGAATTGCTTGGGTCCAAAGAAATTTGTGTTTCCAAAAAAGACAAAATATGAATGATTTCAGAGTCTGGAATCCCTTCAATCAACGCCTTCCAAAAGCAATCCAAGCCCTACATCCAAAATCTACTGAGGGAGAGAAAACAAGCAAACCTTTCCCACTTCTGAAGATATGGCATACTTGTTTCAGTGCCCATTAAATGAGATAGTAAGTTTTCCTCCTCTTTGCCAGGTTAAACTACAGATATTCCTTCCCATTCTCTTGTACTGTCTTCCAGAGCACAAATAAAGCACCATCTGGCCCTTCATTAACTCTATTTGATTTTCTTTGATCTCATGTAAACGATGAGAAAAAGATCTAAGACTTGCTTCTCCTCTTTAGACATGTGCATAACTCACGTCAGTGTCAATGGGAGTTAAACATGCCTATGGAGAGGAAGAAATAGAAACCACTGTGTGTTTCACTGTAGCATCTTTGCATTTGCAAAATGGAAACAAAATGGTCCAAAACCTAATTCCCAGATCACATTCCTCCAAGTCTGAAAGTGGACCTTAGAGAGGATGTAGAAATACCAGGATACTGTGACAGGACACAATAGGGTAGTTGATGTTCTTATTCATAAAGCAAACCATCTCGGTTGTCATGAATTCAAGTGTCTGCAGCTCAAAGGAAGAGAAAAACAATAAAATTTAAAATGCATTTTGAAGTTTTCCACAGTTTACTTTATCTTCCCTTTATATACAAGACAAAAATTGCTGTAAATTAAAGCCTGAGATCACAGAGCCTTCCAAAGCCCCTCTTTCATTTGCCCCCCCTCCCTTTCCCAAACAGCACCATCATTCCCCAGCTGAAGGGACCAAGTTCAGCATTGTCTTCTCTCACTGCTGGTCAAGTTCGCAAGGATGAAAGATATTCTCTCTGTTTCGCGTTGGCCAAAGGAGCAACGGATCTGGAGAGCTGGCAGTTGCCTGTTAACACCCCACACTTTCTAAGGCATGTGGGGAAGTTTGTGCCTATAAAACATTGCTAGTGGTGAAGACCAGGGCTACATGCAGCCACCCAGGCAGCCATGGTCAGTCAGGGGGGGCAGGGACTCTGCAACCCCCCTCACATCCCCTGGAGCAGGGTGTTCGGGGCAAATGCTAACCAAGGCCTTCACCCTGGCATGCACCACACCCTGGCACCGAGGTTCCAGCTTTGCCCTGCTGCCAGGGGGGTCTCAGCCCCCATCCCACCCCTCGGCATCCCCTGCTGCCCCTTTAGCGAGGCTTTTCACAACCAAGTGATGGATTTAAGGGCTCATGAGCATGGCGAGAACTGACTGAATACACAGCCCCTTCGGCCCAGCTGAAGTCCTGTATATGCGCGTGTGTACATCTGTATATGCACGCGTACGCACATACAAAGGTCCGTCCCGCCCAGGTGTTGCGGGA